ACCCTATTGCAGGAAGATGAGGCCTGAACGGGAGAAAGAAATCATCGGAACACCCGTGCTATTAGAGGAAGAGGCTTTAATGTCCCTGGAGCATCGGTGGACTAAAGTTCCAAATGCTGAGATCCCCATACAGCTTTCATGCGAGCTCTGGTAGCGTAGTGGTTACGAATCGAGATGCTAACTTCAGCAGTTTGAAACTACCAGCCGTTCCCATTCCGCTTGAGAAAGATGAGGCTTTCTGCTCCTGTAAAGATTTACAGCCTCGGAAAGCCTATGCAGGATATTATGAGTCAGAATCAACTCCACAATACTTAACAACAACAACAGGGACTGAGTGGTGAGATCACCATGTTACTTTCTCATTGGCAGTTCCTAGATAAGCGGCTTTTCACAAAAGCAGAAGAAGCTGTTAGTTTCCTTTGTGTGTGACCTAGGCCTCAAGGTCCTATGGGCAGGGGCCTCCTTCCTCAATCTCACAGGAGAAACATAAAGCAGTCTGCTTCCATAAAGATTTACAGCTTCAGAAATCCTATGGAGCAGTTCTGCTCTGTCTAGGGTTGCTGTAAGTCTGAATTAACTCCAGGACAATGAATTTAACTTTTGGTTTACTAACTTAAAGGTTGGCAGTTAGAACCCACCTAGGAGTACAACAGAAGAAAATCTGCAACTAAGAAAACCCATCCTCACAATTGTTATATTTGTACCCATTGCTACTGCCACTTTGTCAATCAATCTTGTTGGGGTCTTCCTCTTTTTTTTTTTTTTTCTGTTAGCCCTCCACTTTATCAAGCATAATGTCCTTCTCTAGGGACTGATCCCTTCGGAAAACGTCCAAATTATGAGAGATGAAGTCTCACCTTTCTGGTTTCTGAAGAGAATTCTGGCTGCACTTCTTCCAAGAAATATTTGTTTGGGCAGGCCATGGTACTTTTAATATTCTTCTCCAACTCCATAATTCAAACACATTGATTTTTCTACAGTCTTCCTTATTCATTGTCCAACTTTCCCATATATATAAGGCTATTGAAAATACCATAGCTTGTGCCAGGCACACCTTAGGCCTCAAACTGATATCTTTGCTTTTGAACACTTTAAAGAGCTCTTGTGCAACAGATTTTTCTAATGCAATAATATGTCGTTTGACTTTTTTTCAATGTTTTATTGTGAATTATGTGATAGTTTACATGGGAGAACATTAGCATTACATTCATCCTACATTCATTACATTGCCTTGGTTACAATCCCCTCTATGCATCATCAACCAACCAAATGGTACATCCTGCAAGCCTGGCCCCTGGTCGTCAGCACACAGCCCCTCTCCCTCTCTGGGTCTAGAGTCCCCAGCCACTCCATCTCTCCACGTCATCGTCTCTGCCTCCATCTCTGGTGTCACTGCTTCTCTGGGTAGGGTCCTGCACTCTGCTCTTCTCCCTTGGTGGTCCCAGGGACCTCTGCTCAAGGACTGCAAAGTCAACCACTCCCCTCCTTTTGCTACAAAACGTCTACCTTTACAGTTCCAGCCTTCACAGTCAGTCCTGATAGTAATTATTCACTATTGTACCACATGAGTGTTATCCACATCTCTTTTCATCAGCCCTGCCTAGACAGATTGAATACTGCTCAGTGGAGAGTCTACCTTCCTCCGTGCCCTCTGGATCTAGGCTCCCAGTCACTTCTTGCCTTTGTAGCACCCTTCACACCCCATTTTGGGTAGCCAAGTCCAAGTTGCCCATCCCTGTCTACCCTGCGTATTGAGAGGGTGGGAATGATCCTCGCTGTAAAAATTTGTTCCCTCTTTTGAGCTACTGCATCCATAGGTGTAGGTCAAGTTCATCAAATTGTATCAGATTACTCTTATTTTCCTCTTCTTTCTTCTTTTAGTTGAGCTCTGATCATCCAGTCATTGAAGCCAGGTCAAGTGGGTATTATCGGCAAGTGTGGGTGTTCTTGTGCATATGCCCTCTCTGCTTATCAGCTGGACACTTCATTCTCCACTCTAGTCCTCTGTGACTATGTCACTGACTCTGGGCCCAGGAGTCCCCAGGTCTTGCCAAACTGCTGGCCAACCAGGTCTCCACCTGGGTTCACAGGAGTGTATTGAACGTGGTTGGACTTAGCTCCCAGCTTCATTGCTGTTTTTCCCTCACTTCCCCTTATCAGAGCACGCGTCTGCTGGTGTGTTCCCATTGAGTCTCAGTCTTGGAAGGGGGTTAGCCCTGAGGGGACCCGACCCCTTGTCTTGATGTCTCCTGGGTGAGCAACTTGCTTGTTCTTGTAGTAGTCAGTCAGAATGCCATTATTGTTTGGTATTTTTCCTGTCGGTCTTTCTTTCAAGAAGTATCTTCTGTTCTTCTAGCCACTCCAGGCTGGCCTGCTTGTCCTTTCCAGTGGAAATTTCCCACCTCAGAAGATTATGGATGGAGTCCTTTGAATTTTTAACTGCTGCTTCCATGAGTGTTGATGGTGAATCCAAGCAAAATGAAGTATTTGATGACTTCAGTCTTTTGTCCATTTGTTGTTGTTATTAAGTGCTGTTGAGTCAGTTCTGATCTCTAGCAAGCCTTTGTAGGATTTCCAAGGAGCATCTGGTGAGTTTGAATCAATGACCTTGCGGTTCAAACTGACTTCGCAGTCTAAGCATATTAACCCACAGCACCACACCAGGACTCCTTTCTCCATTTATCATGATGTTGTTTTATGAAACCACTTGTAAGGAGTTTTGTTTTCTTTACATTGTGGTGCAGTCTATACTATGTAGTCTTTGATTTTCATCAGTAAGTATTATAAGTCCTCTTTGCTTTCAGCAAGCAAGGTTGTGTCATCTGCATGTCACATATTGTTAATGAGTCTTCCTCCAATCCTGAACCCACGTTCTTCTTCATCTAATCCAGTGTTTTGGATTATTTGCTCAGCATACAGATTGAATTAGTATGGTGAACGCATACAACCCTGGCACTCACCTTTTCTGATTTAAAACCTTT